TATTACTCACCGCGAGACAACTCCCATGAGGAGACAACTCGCCCGAAATTCGCTATATAATCGCAAGCTCAAGGTAGCACGATTACAACCCTAGAAGCACTTAGAGATATTATGAGAATCTATATAGCCTGGCCAACTTGATTACTCAAATTTATCTACTTCAATTCGATGGGTCATTCATTAAAACGTGGCCACAGTCCAAACATACTTAAGACCACGAGGTCTAACAAGGGGCACGACCCCCATAAAAAAAAAATCTTGAGAGTCTGATCCCCTCCTCAAGTACATCACGCACAAGGCTATATGTAAACACATATAAGCAACGCGTCAAAACATTGACAATGTCGAAAAATAACAACTCCCACGAGGAGAATACTAGCTCCGTGCTACTACATTATCGTGAGACAACTTCCACGAGGACATAACTCGATCAACTCCATTACCCCAGAGACAACTCCCACAAGGAGATTACTTGATCCGTGTTACTACATTATCGCGAGACAACTCCCACGAGGAGATAACTCGATCAACACTATTACCCCGCGACGAGACAACTCCCACGAGGAGATAATTCGCTACTACATCGTCGCGGGACAAAACCGACGACTCGAATAACTTACATCGCGACAACTTGGTCGCGCTATGCGCCAACGCGCATTCGCGCCCCTCCGACACACGCTCCAACGCGTTATCGCACACCATCGACTACTACAATTTTTACTCTCTACACGATATGTCACCCATTTCAACATGACCCCCACATCGACTCGAGAGTGGGGAGCTTAATGATATGCCTAATTGGCTCAACCCAATGGGCCTACAAATTATTTACCTACTGGGCCACGAGCCCAATATCGAAGATCACTATCACCGAGGCCCAATCACCTTCAAGCAAGGTTTAGGCCCGACAATCTCAACTAAGCTATAAATACACATTTGAACTCATTCCATACGGTATGTCCTATTATCTGAGCAATACGATTAACTGTATTCTCTGGACTATTTCTAGGATCAGCCCGGTTGCCCGTGGTATGTGAGGGGTTTCCGCCGGATCAACCCCCGGCCTAGTTTACGTGTTTTATGATCGCAGGTATTTCAAGGTCATCAAGCTCGTGAGCCAGTGATCCAGTCTGCTCTTCCAGTTCATCCTACTTCAACTATCTAAGGTGATCTATCTTTAGCATCATCACATATATATATATATATATATATATATATATATATATATATATATATATATATATATATATATATATATATATATATATATATATATATATATATATATATATATTTGGAGGAGGAGGAAGAAAAATTGGTTTACATAGTGGATAGTGGGATACGCATATAGATTCATAAGGAATATGTATTAGTATTGTAGTAGTAGTAGTAGTAGTAGTAGTAGTAGTAGTAGTGTGTGTGTCAGTGGTTTTTGTTTGTAGAAGATGAATGAATTTACGGGGAGAAATAGAAATAGAAATTGCAATTTTATTTTGTCAAGAAATAATTGGGCTTTTTAATTACGATATTGGTTCATCATTTGGGCCGATTGAGCCCACTACCAAACTTCAAT